GGGGGTCCCGGGCACGCGGACGGGGGTCCCGGGCACGCGGACGGGGTGTCCCGGGCACGCGGACGGGGGTCCCGGGCACGCGGACGGGGGATCCTGGGCACGCGGACGGGGGTCCGGGCCACGGGGGCGGCGTTCCGGGCACGCGAGAGGGGGGCCTGGGGTTTCGGGCAGGGTACCGGGCTCGTTCTAGGGGTCCTGCCGCGCGCCTGCGTTTCTGGGGGTTCCGGGCTGGGGGCTGCAGGCCCACCCTCCCCGGGCCCGGAGACCAGGGCAGCGTCCGTGCGGGCTCCTGTGGGGCGCTCAGGGACAAGCTCGGCCGCCCTTTCTCCCGCCTTTCCTCTGCCTAGTTCCCGCAGCAGCTCCGTGGGTGTCAGCGGGCAGCACGGGCGCAGGTGGGAAGTCAGGCCCGGGTGAACCACGGTGCCAGCGGTTTCTGGGAGGGAGATCGGGCCCCGGGGTTCCAGGTTCCTCCTGATTCACGGATCTTCTTGGACGAGTGAAGTGAATAACATCCCACAGGGCCTCCCCCATGAGGACGCTGGCTCGAAAGAGAGCTAAAGCTCCCTGTGCAGGGGAAGGGAGAAAAGGAGGCAGCAACATGCAGGCACTGTGGCACCCCCGTGGTCTTCCCTTCTGGCTTTCCCCGATGGGCGGCAGCCCTGCTGTGCTCCTTAGGGAGGCTTTTTCCCTTGGCCCCCTCACGTGTCGCGTGGCTGGGGGGCGTTTGCGCCTCCGCGGGCGATGAAACTCGGTCTGTGTCTGCAGATTACGCCGACAAGCCCCTGGAGAAGCCCCTGAAGCTGGTCCTCAAGGTCGGAGGAAGCGAAGTGACTGAGCTCTCAGGATCCGGCCACGACTCCAGTTACTATGATGACAGGTCAGACCACGAGCGAGAGAGACACAAAGAAAAGAAAAAGAAGAAGAAGAAGAAGTCCGAGAAGGAGAAGCATCTGGATGATGAGGAGAGGAGGAAGCGCAAGGTAATGGAGCAGCAGCCCGGGGACCCCAACCCGCCTGCGGGGAGCAGGTCCCAGGAAGCAGGCAGAGTGCACCTGCCTGGCGGAGGAGGGGTCCGTGGGGAGCAGAATGCAAACCGTTGAGGCCAATAGGCTCAGTTCCAGGAACCTGGTATGTGGCTCCTCTGCAGACCCTGCCCGGGTCTCTGTGAGGAGGGTCACCAAGGGGCGTTTCCATAGCTGCCTGGGTCTCTTGTGATGAGGGAGCCCAGTGTGAGGAGGGGCTTTCCCTTAGCTCTATCCTTCCGGAGAACTGAGGGGGCATTGGGTGGAGGTGTCTGGATCCCACCTACTCCTGTCCCTCACTCCCTTGACTCTGCCTCCCAGGAAGAGAAGAAGCGGAAGCGAGAGCGGGAGCACTGCGACACGGAGGGAGAGGCTGACGACTTTGATCCCGGGAAGAAGGTGGAGGTGGAGCCGCCCCCAGATCGGCCCATCCGAGCCTGCCGGACACAGCCAGGCAAGGGTCGGCTTTTAGAGACTCCTGGTGTTCACTGCTCCTCGTTGTAAATTAGGGGTCGGCACCATGTCCTCTTGCGTTGGGGAGAAGCATGGGAGGGAGGAGGACTGGCATTTCCGGGGCCTCATTCCAGCTGTCCTCTGGATCTGAGGTTTTCTCTGGTGTCTTTGAATGTCTAGAGCAAGGCTTGGCTGGTGACTACTGGTGCCATTGAGGTTTGCTTTTTAACTTGTTAGCTGTGGATGGTTTCTATGTTTTTTAAGGGCTTGTAAAAAGAAAGAAAAAGGCGTATCCACAGAGATCAGTCATATGTGACCAGCAAAGCTTAGACTGTTTTTTTTCTGGCCTTTACGTAAAAAGTTTGCCCGCCCTGGGTCTAAAAGTTTGGTTTTGTCCGCACTTGGCACCAAACAGAACAGCGTCAAAAGAGTTGCCGCACAGGGTCAGACTGGCAAGAGAGATGCATGTCAGTGAAAATGCAGGTCGTCCCCTTGGAAGAAGGGACCTGGAGGCCCAAAGAGTGGGTCTGAAGCTGAAAGTGACCATAGGCTGAGGCAAAGGTAGTTGGAGACCTTCCGTAGAATTTCTGTGTTGGGCACCAGCTGCCAAGGATGGCATTTGGCTGGAATTTCCAGCCGATAAGGGCTTGCCCTCTGGCTTCTCCTTGTCTCCAACCTTAGTGTGCACGACTCACAGTGATGAGGCATTTGTACCTAAGACAAGCGGTGTCTCTTCCAGGTGACTGTCAGCATCTAGTGGTTCCCGGATTGTGGGGAAACTGGGACAGTTGGGATTTGGGCCATGGGACTTCAGGGAGTGGTAGGCTAGTGCTGCAGTCATTCAGAACATCAGAAACCATCTGAGCCCTGCTGACTCCACCAAAGGAAAGTTCTGGAATACTGCTGGTCTCTGAGTTTCTGTGGTCATTTTGCTCTTCAGGCATTTTCTTTTCTTAGTTGATTTTTGAAACACGGTCTTGTCGCACAGGCTGGAGTGCAGTGTCATGATTCACTCCTGGGCTCAGATAACCCTGGGCTCAAGCGGTCCTCCCACCTCAGCCTCCCACGTTGCTGAGACTACAGGCACACACCACCACGCCAGCCATTTAGTTAATTAGTTTTTGTGGAATGTCGAGCGCACCTCAAGTGAAATAATAATGGGTGAATACAGGATCGAGCTTTATGCTCGGAGCCTTCGTGCCATCCTTCACCCCTGCCCAGAGTAGTGCCAGGAGCTGAAAACATGGGTCAGGGTCACTACGTCTGTTGATGTAAGGCCTACCGGGTGTCATAACGGGGTTTTCACCACTCCCGCGACATGCGGGTGCCCTTTCCCGCCCAGCTGAGCTTCGTGGGAGCCAAGGCTGAGTCGGGTGTGTCTTTGTATCCCCAGTTCTCGCTGGAACTTAAAATGCTGTGAGACACCAAGCAGACAGATACTGTGAACTTGGAGCTCTCTATTGAAGGGATACCAAAGTCTTTGTATTCAATTTTTTTTTTCCTTAAATTGTCAGCCGAAAATGAGAGCACACCTATTCAGCAGCTCCTGGAGCACTTCCTCCGCCAGCTCCAGAGGTAAGCCTGGGTGTTTCTCAAGAGGTTGTGTCTGGCGGCGGGGGTGGTGCTGTCTTTATTTTCTGAGGTCTTATTCCGCACCCCAGCCCCGTCAGCTGTGAGACAGACCCTGCACCTTCTCTTGGTGACTCCTGGTCCCCGTTGGGGTGGACGGGAAGAGTTCACAGACTCCCCAGTTGCCCACTCTGAAATCAGAGTAGGGTGAGGGAAGTCAAGGCAGAGCTGGGCCGATGGCAGCCGCCAGGACACGTTGGGGGAATTTTTATCATATCTGAAATACCTATCACAATGAATTGAAAGACCCTAGGAACTTTTTACTTTTAAGAAACAAAATTCGATCAGTTTAATCAAATTTTTAGATTGTAAGAGATTTTTTATCATTTAGAAATCTAGATTTTTCCACAAAGATGTCTTTGCTTTCAGAAAAGATCCCCATGGATTTTTTGCTTTTCCTGTCACGGATGCAATTGCTCCTGGATATTCAATGATAATAAAACATCCCATGGATTTTGGCACCATGAAAGACAAAATCGTAGCTAATGAATACAAGTCAGTTACGGAATTTAAGGTAAGTACTTTCACTGCCCAAAATAATCGTGACCTAGCTCTGTGTATTTGTGTCTAGCGAAAACTTTGTTCACCTCAGGTCATTTGTAGTTTTTGAGCATTCGCCAGTGTTTCTGTGTTTGGGCGATGCTTTACAAACGTCACTTTAAGGAAACGATTGGTTGTGAGGATTCTCTCTGTGCTTTGGTCTAGAAATGAGAACTTGTTGCGGCGCTGGTAGAAGCCTGTCTTTTCTTTCTCAGTTAGTGTGCTGGCGTGAACAGGACATGTTGTCTCAAGCAGTGAGATGTCCTTTGTGGCATGGCTTGAGGCTAGACATTTTAAAAAACATACTTCTTGGCTGGGCGCGGTGGCTCACGCCTGTAATCCCAGCACTTTGGGAGGCCAAGGCGGGCAGATCACGAGGTCAAGAGATGGAGACCATGGTGAAACCCCGTCTCTACTAAAAAATACGAAAGTTAGCTGAGCGTGGTGGCGTGTGCCTGTAGTCCCAGCTACTAGGAAGGCCGAGGCAGGAGAATTGCATGAACCTGGGAGATGGAGGTTGTAGTGAGCCGAGATTGCGCCACTGCACTCCAGCCTGGCGCCCAGCAACGGAGCAAGACTGTCTCAAAAAAAAAAAAAATGCTTCTTTTTAATTCTTTAGTCTTATAATAATTGAGCTTTTAATTTTCTTTAGTATAATTAAGTTTTTCTGTCTCCTGAATACTTTGCTCTTAACTCTGTTTCTTTCTACGGCTATGAAAGTTAGCATTGGTTTTGCAACCCGTGGGAAGAAAGCAAAATAGAGGCCTGATAAAATCGGCGTTGATGTAGTGTGGAAGGGCGTTAGTTTCTCTCTTAGGTTCCATTAGCTTCGGAAAAGCTTGACTTTTCTATTTTTGTTATACATTGACTGAAGAGTTTGCTGACTCACAGAAACACAACAGAACATACTGAAAGGAGAGTGGGAGAAAAGGAAAGTTAGGAGAGGGTCGGGCAGTGCCCGAGGGCAGCTGTGGAGGGTTCCATGCCCTAAAGCCCCCTGTATTCCCAGCTGTGGGCCCCAGTCTCCTCATTCCTAGCAACAAAGTGAGCAGGGGAGCAGCGCTCACTCCGTGGAGTATCCTGAGTGAGGGTCTTCAGGGGAGGGGCTGTGCAGCCTCAGGCCGGGCCCTGGGGCTGCTGGCTCGGGCACCAGGACTTGGTGAGGTGCCAGGGGCACATTCCCATTAGGGCGCTGGCCTCCAGGGTGACTCTCCAGCCTGATACTGGTATTCACCTTTGAGAGGCCTGCGCTGAGGAAACTGGTTATCGTAATAAAATACTGATGTTTCCATATTTTTTGCATAAATTATGGAATAAGGGTCTTCTTTTTGGGGACAAAGTCTTTTTCTAATAGTTTGAGGGAACTATTTGTAGACAAAATTTTAAATTGTATTCCATGGAAAAATTCTCGAGCTAGAGCATATCACTGTGTCCCGCACCTGCCTTTATCCCTCGACTTTTACTTAAAAGAATCAGAGTGTTGCTTCTTGTTCCTGCGCATGTTCTGGAGAAGTGCTGGAAGCACAGGCTGTGATGCTCCTTTCTCCTCGCACAGCGTTTGTGTGATGCTTAGAAAGTACTTACAGGCTTGGCCAGCTCTTCACTATAAAATTTTTCATGCAAGACCAACGAGCAACTAAGAGAATCTAAGTTCTTAGACATTGTTTTAGATCAGAGAGCCAAGTTTGCGTTGTATGAGACTGTGGCTTTTTCCTTTTCGTCTCGTGATAGTCATCTGGAACTTTGATGCTGTCTGTGTGGCATTTCAAACTCGGTCGGTCTTTCCTTGTTTCAGGCAGATTTCAAGCTGATGTGTGATAACGCCATGACGTACAACAGACCAGACACCGTGTACTACAAGTTGGCGAAGAAGATCCTTCACGCGGGCTTTAAGATGATGAGCAAAGTAAGAGACCCACCGGCAGCAGTCAGCTACGGAGGGCGGGGGCTCTGCCCTGCGAAGGCAGCCTCACAGTGAACACATGCTCATCCACTGCCGCCTTCATGGAGTTGCCCCCTTGGCTGTAGGGTAGACGTCCCCGGCCATCCTCTCTGGCCGTCCTTTTTGCTCATGACCTAGCTGTAACGTCTCACTTAGGGTTGGTGGAAAGTTCCGCGTCTCTTGATCTTAAGCCTGGGTGTCCATCTTGCTGGATTGCAGCCAGCCTTGTGGGCTTATTTTGCTTGGCTGCCTCACTGAATCCAGACGGGACATCCTTGTCTTCCTTGGCCATCCTGAGTGGCTTCCCAGATCTGTGCCGTGAGCCAGGCTGCATGCGTCCCACATAGGTGAAGGTAAAGCTGAGGTGCAGCACCTGCCGTGCTGTGGCGGTGGGTCAGGCCCACATCCGCCTCCCGCTGCTCTGCCGTGGAAAGTTAGCTGTTAGGCCAGGTGAGGCTGTGGCCATCCCCATCCCATCCCATCGTCATGCGCCTGGCTGTGAGGGAGAGGTAAATCCCTGCTGCTCTGTCCTTTCTGGTTCCAGGAGCGGCTGTTAGCTTTGAAGCGCAGCATGTCGTTTATGCAGGACATGGATTTCTCTCAGCAGGCAGCTCTTCTGGGCAGCGAAGACACAGCTGTTGAGGAGCCTGTTCCTGAGGTTGTACCTGTACAAGTAGAAACTGCCAAGAAATCCAAAAAGCCGAGTAGAGAAGTTCTCAGGTAAAGGCTCTTTGGAAGCTGCATTTGCCTGTTGGAGTTCAGCACCACCACCGGGAAAGCAGGTGCTTTGTTGGGGAGAGTGAGCGAGGGAACGACGTCGTGTCACGTGGACGTCCTTT